CTAACCTTCGCAATGGTCTTGTGGATACCTAGATGCCCACCCACAGGAGAAGAATGAAAATACTCAAAGACCATAGGGATTAGAAGACTAGGCAGCACAACTTTAGGTTTACCTCGCTGCCAAGCGCGACAGCAAAGGGCACCCTGGGACAGAAAATATGGGGGGTGGGCTCCCCCATTTTGAAGCTCATCAATGATCTTTGCCAGCTCAGGATCCTTCAGCTGATGGGGAATGAAATCAGAAAAGGCGAGTGGAAACTCCAAGAGCACGGCACAACCCGGTTGCTCTTGGTCAGAAGAAGGATCGTCGGGTGAATGGTACATCCTAGATAGTGTGTCCGCAATCACATTCTGAGTGCCTCGAACGTGTTGCACTTGGAACTTAAGGGACGATATTTGGACAACCCAACGACCAATTTTCCCAAGCTGGCGTGGATGTGCGAGAAGCCACGAGAGTGCCTGGTTGTCGGTTTCCAATAAAAACTCTTTGTCCTCCAAAAAGCGTCGGAATTTATTGACTCCAAACACGACAGCCAAACACTCGAGTTCATACACAGAGGAGCTTTTCTTTTCGCAGGGACTCAAAGTGCGTGAGGCGTACGCAATTGGCTGCCTAACACCATCCACCTCTTGTGACAACACAGCCGCAATTGCGACGGAGGAAGCATCTGTTTGCAAGACAAAGTTTTGATTGAAATCCGGCATCGCCAAAACAGGGGGCTGCATGATAGCCTCCTTGAGAAGATCAAAAGACGTCTGCTGCGCTTCACCCCAGACAAACTTGGCGCCCTTCTTCCGAAGCTCATTGAGAGGAGCCGCCAATTCAGCAACATTGGGTATGATGCGTCGGTAAAAACCTACCATGCCGATGAACCTAGCAATACCCTTGACATCTCTGGGAGGAGGAAACTCCCTGATAGCCTGGGTTCTAGCGGGGTCGATGCAGACGCCTCTATGAGAGATAAGATGACCAAGGAACGAAATTTCCGGCTTTGCAAAACTAACCTTGTCAGGATTCACGGTAAGGCCAGCCCTATTCAATCTACTCATGACTTCTTCAAGATGAATCAGGTGATCTTCGAAGCTCTCACTGTACACCAAGAGATCGTCGAGGTAATTGAACACAAACTTGAACTTGACATCATGAAAGATGGAATCAAGGAGTCTGGTGAGAGTCTGGGCCCCCACAGCAAGACCCATCGGAACTCTTGTGAACTGATACAAATTCCACGGAACGCAGAAAGCAGTGAGAGGTCGAGACTCAGGTTTCAAAGGAATCTGATGATAGGCCTGATTCAGATCAAAAACAGAAAAATACTTGGCCTTACCGAACCAATCAAACGCAGAATGCAAATCGGGGAGAGGCACAGAGTCGATTTCAATTTGCGCATTCAATTTGCGATAGTCCAAAACCATTCGGGACTTGCCATTGGGTTTTGGGACGAGAAAGGCTGGACTAGCGTAGCTCGAACGGGAAGGTTCAATGACACCATTTTCCAGAAGTTCGTCAATGATTTTTCTGAGAGTTTCCATTTTGGGTGGAGCTAATTTGTATGGGTGAGAGTGAACGGGACGGGTATCTGTTAGATGAATCTCGTACTAAACAGGTTAGTGACTCCAAGCTTTGGCGTCAGCACATCTAGGAAACGAGAACACAAGGTTCTGATGGCTTCAGCCTCGCAAGTAGTCAGATGCCCTAACGGATCAATTGTTGGCTTGCTGGGTATCTCAGGCTCGACTACCGCAGCACCACCACCAATTTCATCAGCAAAAGATATTAATACCCGTCTCGCAAATCGGAAAAAACACTGACCTCTGCCTAAATCCAAAATTAGGCCAGTGTGCTTGATAAAATCCGCTCCCAAAATGACAGTTAAACAAAGGTCCTTAGCCACCCAAAAACTCCAAACCCAAGAAAAATGTTCAATTTTGAACTTGAAACGGGCTTCATAGATGATGGGAAGGGGTGAATTTGACGCAGTCCAGCAGATAGGGGTTTTTCGCTCAACTTGCTTGATAAGCCCAGACGATTCAAGTTTTTCAAAAAGGGACAAGGAATTGAGGCAACGGGCTGACCCAGAATCCACTAGGGCCTTCTGCACCGTGGAACCTATGAAGATGTTGAGACGTGGGCAAGTTGAGCGCGCCGCTTTCACGCCCATGGAAGCAAGGCCCGCAATCCCCCGCAGCAGAGGCTCGGTCACAGGCACAACACTCCCAGAAGGGGAGGCAACAGAAACATTAACTGACTTTAACTTAGAATTTGACTTACTTGAAAAAACTTTCAAATTATTGCCCTTTACATTATCACCAACAACCTCACAGGAAGGATTGGGCAAATTTTCCTCCTGTGAGCAAACTAGTTTTTTGGACCACGTCCAAAATTTCCACCTTGACGGCAATGCCGCCGAATGTGACCTGGTTGCCCACAACCAAAACAAACAACAGGTTGCCTCTGCCACTGCGGCGGTTCGGGACCCAACCCCACGGGTGCTACGACAGCATGATGACCAGCTAGGGGAAGATGCCCCGCCGCTTGGTCTCTCTGGAAATCAGCGTCCTGGACGGATCTCGAAAGGATGGAAAGTCTGTCCAGATCCGCAAAAGATGAAGGTCGTGGTGCAAAAACCAAACGGGAGCGTTCCTCAGGCTTCAACCCCTGAAGCACAATGTCAATGAGCTCAAGCTCACTGATCCCCAAACGCAAGACCCTTTCCACCGTGCGAATGTCCCCCACGTACTGGCTGAGAGACTCGGCTGGCTGCTGAGGACGAAAAACTCTCTCAACTTTCAGCTTCTCCATGACCCGACGGGGCATGAAAAGCTCCAAAACTTCTTTATGAAAAACATGAAAGGTGACGCCTCTGCGCAAACAATCAAGCAATCTGTCCCCCAACGGTTTCAGACAGTATGGAGCAATGAGTTCCATCAAAGTTGCGTCTGACATGCCAGGGTATTCACGCATGCGCAAAACACTCTCCAGAAAAAAACAAAGACCATTCACATCCAACCCGTCCACCGGCCGGAAACCACTCAGGACAGAGGCAAGGGGATGGGGAAGTTTGCCAAAGGAGTTAGAGATGGAAGGGGAACTATGAACTTGAGAAGGAAAGGGAGATGGGGACTGGACATTCAGCGTAGCCGCAGCCAAGGTGGACGTGTGAGAGGGGGACGGTGTGACATTTGCATTTGACATTTGAACATTTGCATTTGACATTTGAACATTTGCAGGCAACTGGAGCAGTGTACTTGGCGTAGGCGGAGCCTGGGGGGTACCCACTGGAGTCACATCATCAACTGACCTTGGTACTTCGTTTGAAATTTCCGAAGAACGGTTGTCTTCAAAAATTTCAACTTTCTCTTTGACAGACTTTCCTGCCTTAATACTCTCCAAAATACCTTCCAGCTCAAGGATTCTGGCCTCCACCCAACTCTTGTCTTCATCCTGGATTTCAGGTTGCCCTGAAACCAAGAGCAGACGCTTACGCCAGTGCGTCAGCTGTGTGATAGCCGAACCCTTAGCTGAGCCCATAGGCAAACTACTCCAACTATTAATTTCCCCACTTAGCTCTTCCATCCTCTCTTTACATGCCTCCAGTTCCTCATCCAAACTGAGAGACTCAACCCAAGCTTGAGGCATGCTAGCAATTTGTCTGAACTGTGTACGCAAAGTGCGTACATCAGTTCCAGGAGTCTCCCCCCGGGACCGCACCTCGTACACCAGCTCCGGCTTCCTCAAATATTCCGGCACAATTGACGCCATACCGAGTCTCAACCAGCACTTGACTCAAAACAACAGCCAACAAAATTTTTTTTACAAAACAAACACAGAAATTTAATTCCTAAGGCTTCTGGACGTTGATGCCTACGCACCTGATGGGGCCCAAAAGAAGAACCTGCCCATTCATACCGCAAGTACCGCAAGAAAAAACAACAACAAATGACCCACGTACGTACACACACACAAACATACACCGATACATACACTAGACAACACCTAACACTTGTGTGATGGGGTGTACACACAAACCTTTTTTTTTTTTTTTTTTTTGACACATGACCATGCTTTTGACACTCTTGCTCCCGAAGGATGCAAGTCATTACCACCGATTCCACCCGGTGCCTCGGCCAAAGGGCGAGCTCCTAATAAAATGTGTTTACGCCCCACCACAACAACAACAAGACCTTTTTCCAAAACTGCCAGGCCAGAACATTTCCAAGAAACCAATCCATCCACGGCTCTTCAAAAAAAAATCAGAACGTGGACAGTGATTGGGTCTCTAAGCGTCCAAGTCGTGAAACCAAGTTTCACGACAAGGCACCCAGGACGCAACCAGCAAACCACGCTCTGCTACCAGATGAACCATGCCCTCGTGCCTGCACCCAGACTAACGAAATGGAAGCGTGATCCATGCGCAGGCCCGAGGAGCGGCCCACAAAACTTTACTTAACAAAATGAGAACCATGGATGGAGGTTCAAGAACAACACGCCATTTGAGAGAAACGAGCTGTAATTAATCATTTAAATGAACACAACAACAAAAATCAACAACAATACATGAATTAAATACTCTCAATTAAACCTTAAATAAATTTAGATACCACTCTGACCTACCAACTTACAAACATTAATTTAGAAAAATTCAAAATAGTCTAATTTCAGTCAAAGTTAATTTAATTTTCATCCTTCAGAAAAATATAGGATAAATATTGAGTAATAAAATAGTAACAATAAATATATAATCTTTTCATCTAGTGTTTGGTATCTTGTATAAATTAGGGGGCCCCAAAAATTGAATTTAATAAAAAAGTAATAAAATTTTAAAATATCAACAAGTAGGCTAAAGAAATTTAAAATTTAAAAGGAATAACAATAAATAGGCTTTAAAACTTTAACAGTCACATAAAAATCTAAACATTAATTAACAATAAATGACAATAAATAACAGTGGTAACTTGCGGTAACTGTCTAGGGCATCTCAGTCACTAGGTGGAAGGGCTATGACACTGAGCAGAGAGGGGGCATCCCAGGGTCTAAGGGATTGGCCCCAAGTTGGACAAGTTTCTCTGCTACCGGTTGAAGGTCCATCTCCCAGGCGAGCAGCACCGGAGGGGAAAACCAGTAGGACGGAGAGGGAGACCATAATCCACGAGGTAGTCAGGCATCCCAACGATATAGCTCCGCCAAAATAGCTCGGGTCCATCTGATGTCCTCCTCACGGGCCCTGAGTGGCAAAACCCAGAAAACACAGTAGTCACAGTCTAAGTTCATTACCGCAAGGTTCACTGTCACACATTTGTTTTGTTTTTCACTGACTTCCAAAAATCCACAGATTAGGCCTAACATAATATTTTCAAAAAAAATTATAAATTTTTAAAAGGTTTATCTCTCTTTAACAGCTCTTTAACAATATAAAACATTTTAAACAGTAACAAAAATTTAAACAAACAATTAACAGGTGAAACAGTACAAACTCGGTAACATTAATATTTGCGGTAAAAGTGTCAGCAGGCCAGACGGGTATGTGACAGTGGTAAATTTCACCAATAGAGAGAAAAAATTTAAATTGTCTGGTCCAAAGTGGCCAGAAGAACAAGTTAACAGAGAACAATTGACACTTAAACACAGAAAAATACCTTAAAATTGACAAAAAACGTTCCATACAAAAATTTAGGCCTAACGCTACAACTCATGTATTTCTGCTAATTTCTCCAAAAGTTGTGATCCGAATTTGTTCGGAATGGTCTTAAAAGCTGGGGGAAATGTTCCAGCAGCTTCTCCAGACCATTCCAAACCTTAACTCAAAGGCAGGAACCAGAGGCCTTCCAGGTTACCCAGTTCAAACCTGAATGGAGAGTTGCCAAACTAAAAATTACTGTAACTTTCTTAAAACTTGATTAAAATGACTCAAACTTTCTGGGGAGCTTTAAGAGCAGTTAAAATAACTTAATTTAACTAGTTTGGCATGAACAAAGCAAAATAAAAGACTTTAACCTTACTTGACTGGGTAACACAAACTGAACATTTTACAAGACAAAACAACACTAAAATTTTTACGGGACACAGAGCAAAGGGCTACCAAAGGTAGTAGCCTAAGACATTTACATTTAAAGAGCAAAATAGTAAGCCTAGGCCTACCACAAACAGTCAAAAGGACAAAAACTGACTTGGCAGTCTCTCTCAAATAGCGGCCTTCCAACAAACGTTTCTCAGTCAATTCTAGGCCTAGCATTTCGGACAAAGCCCTGAATTCTATTAAAACAACAGAGAACAGGGAAACTAACTAACAAAAGGGTTCCACGACCCCAAGACTAGGTTCCAAACCTAGTGCAACATGTGTCTAACCTAACTTTAGAAAAAAGTGAAAAACTCACCCAAAAGGCGCGCAGGGCGTACTAAAATTTACTCCATTGCGTAGCAGAACAAGAGGAATGAACAATGAACCAAACTGCTTTGCGAAAGGTAAAGCATAGGGACAGATGTAAAAGAATACTTTGTTCAGAAAATCCTCTGCGAGGCAAACGGCTCTGACGTCGCTGAACCTATGAGTTGCTGGCGGAAAGAGTAAAAAGAACAAAACCCCACAGCCTTGTTCGGGGTCGTGGAAGTAACAAAACGACACACTAAACTAGCCTACTATAAAAAAAACACTTGAACCATTGAATATGAGTCGTGACATTCGCCCGGTGGAAATAGTCACGGCTCAGGTGTATGTGTCTTAGAAGTTCAATCTGAACAAAATGTGAGTTTTTATTATCATCTCAACCGTATTACTAATGTAAAATTATTCAAAGCAATTAATTAATTTAGTTTATAAATATTATTTTGTGATAAATTAATAATACCAATAACCAATAAATTAAGCAACCAGTCAACAATTTTACGATCATCGAAAATAGCTTACAATTAGATACAATGAAAATTACCTTTTCAACAAGCATAAAAGACAAATATTTAAATTTCAGGTCACAAATGGAGTGTGCGTGTTAAATGAAGAACCTGAACCTGAACCTGAAGGACCTGAGGGGTCTGGTGTATGTGTCTTAGAAGTTCAATCTGAACAAAATGTGAGTTTTTATTATCATCTCAACCGTATTACTAATGTAAAATTATTCAAAACAATTCATTTATTTAGTTTATAAATATTATTTTGTGATAAATTAATAATACTAATAACCAATAAATTAAGCAATCAGTCACCAATTTTACGATCATCGAAAATAGCTTACAATTAGATACAATGAAAATTACCTTTTCAACAAGCATAAAAGACAAATATTTAAATTTTAGGTCACAAATGGAGTGTGCGTGTTAAATGATCAATCAGATGAAAATGTGAGTAGGCCTATGAGTTATACCTGAACTGCATTGCTACGGTACTAATAAATAATTTTAAAAAGTTGATCCGTTCTTTTTGTAGTTAATTCATATTTGAAATAACAATTAATATTTTACTACTGTATTAATTTATTACTGTAGAAAAGTATGAATTTGGTTCAAACAGATAATATAAAAAAATATTCTAAACACGCAAACAAATCTGTCATTATTGTTATTGTAGGCCTATGCGGTGAAAAATTGCATTACTCAATTTTTATGGACAGTGTATATGGTTCATGTACCTACCCAAAGACCGCAATAGAAAAGATAACGTTTGTCCAAAGTAACCATTAATTGTGGATAGGAGGGAGAGGATACTCATATATTTTCATGAATCTTTACTGTTGCTAGTAAACAAATAGACCTACTGTTATTGTTTGTTGAAATTGTTATACATTTATTTTTATTTTCCATGATGATTAGCTATTCTGATACTGGTATTGGAGTATGCCAAGAGTAAGATATAACACACCAAGTGTAGACAGGAATATATTCTAAAATTGGCCAGGTAATGCTTAATCTTTTACTCTCAGTAGACTAGGATACTAATGTTGCAGTATTACAAATTAATGCAACCTTAATACAGATTTTTTATTTGTACAGCTGATGACTTCCAACAAACCCATTAGATGTGCGAAGATAAGGGCTCTGGAGATAATTTCAGATGTAAGTGCTCAAATAAGTCAGTCTATGGTGGAAGAAAATGTAAATTATTTTGAGCAAAGAAGAATGTCAGAAGACAGCCAGGCTCGTGCCATTCGCCTTGAGGAACAGCGACAAAGAGACACCAACCGCAGGGCTGCCGAGGAGGAGGACAAGCGAGCACGACGCCTCGAAGAACAGCGGCAAAGAGACATCAACCGCAGGGCTGCCGAGGAGGAGGACAAGCGAGCACGACGCCTCGAAGAACAGCGGCAAAGAGACATCAACCGCAGGGCTGCCGAGGAGGAGGACAAGCGAGCACGACGCCTCGAAGAACAGCGGCAAAGAGACGTCAACCGCAGGGCTGCAGAGGAGGAGGAGAAGCGAGCACGACGAATTGAAGAACAGCGGCAGAGAGACGTCAACCGCAGGGCTGCCGAGGAGGAGGAGAAGCGATCACGACGCCTGGAAGAACAGCGACAAAGAGACATCAACCGCAGGGCTGCGGAGGAGGAGGAGAAGCGAGCACGACGGCTGGAAGAACAGCGACAAAGAGACGTCAACCGCAGGGCTGCCGAGGAGGAAGACAAGCGAGCACGACGCCTGGAAGAACTCCGACAAGCAGCCGCTATCCGCAGAGCCGCTGAGGACGATGACGAGCGTGTTCGACGTCTTGAAGAACAGAGGCAAATAGATGCCAACCGCAGGGATGCTGAAGAGGTAGACGAGCGTGCTCAACGCCTTCTAGAACAGCGTCGTCGTACAGCTGAAATACGACAGAATTCTGAGCGTAATCGACTTCAATCCTATAAAGCCGCTGCCTCAAGCCTCGTAGAGTACAGCAATTTGGGAATGTTTGACATTGCATGTGTTCATTGTGGTGCTGTTCATTTTTTGAAAGAGAGAGTGCAGAACAGAATTCACCCTAATTCGTTTGGTGACTGTTGCCTTCATGGTCGCATTGAACAATCTGCACCAGAGTTTCCCAATGAATTGGCATTGCTGTACACGAAACAACACAGACTAGCCAAACAGTTCCACGATAAAATTCGAAATATTTCTGCCTGTTTTGCTTTTTCTTCATTCAATGTTGCTGATGACAGGACTTTCAATAGTAAAGGTATTTATACATTTACTGCTGGTGGACAAGTGTATCACAAGTTAAATTTGGCGGCTCAGCCAGTCAGCAACAGTGAGGGTGATTTGGAAAGACCTAGATATGGACAAATGTACTTCATTGATCCAGAAACAGCCGTTGCAGAACGTATGAATGAACCAATGAATCAAGGCATCAATCAAGAACTAATACAGATTTTAGAGGAGATAATGAGAAGTCAAAACCCATTTTCACAGGCTTTTACGATGATGAGGGAGATAGTTGAGGAAAACAATCAGCGTGCTGAAGCTCTTGGTGTCCAACCACCCCACGTCCACCTGGTGTTTGCTGAACGTGCAGGTAAAATAATACTGTTTTCTCTAATCACAATTATTTTGTATGTTATTTGTAGTTGCTGCAAAAATATAAAATCAGAAATATAAAATAAACAGTAACTAAACATAAAACTTATGCAAACTTATCAAGTAAGTTGTCTTGTGTTTGTTACTCCTCGATAAATATGATGACTCTGAAGGGAAATTTAATTGAAGGGTCGCCACAACTAACGTTTTGCTGCAATCTCAGTACTGAACTCTGAAAACTTCCATATAAGCATAAGTAAGCGCGCCGTAGCCTTTTTTATTTCCTTTCTCTTCTCTTCTCCGTAGCTTTCTATATTGCATGTAAGAATAACTACAACAGCCTGTTAAAATAATAATACCCCCGCCGCAGCAAACCTGCAGACTAAGCGAATTTCCATTTGCCTGATTGGATTTACACTAAAATGTCTCCTGAAAAGTATCACATTTATTCCCTATTTTAATAGATTAGTTTAACGTACTTAGGTTTGCTGCAAAAAGATGTTTTGTGGTAAAATGTTAATAGTTTAGTAAAAAATGAATGTATTTTACAAATTTTATCAAAATATGTTCATAAACAAGCAAACTAAAACAGTTGACTTATTCTTCATAAGAATAACATAGGAATTTTAAATTTACAATTTTTTGGAATTTTCTCCGTAACCATTAGGCGCACAATAACGCTTCAATATATTAAATTATTTGTTTTTTAAGCTCTACAAAATGGTTTGGAAAGAAATTATGAAATTTTTTGTTTTTAGGGTAAAAAACCTATTTTTATTTGTGTCATTTTTCTCTTAGAACTAAATAACGATTAAAGTTAAGATTTTTTTGTTTTTCATATCATTAATTTACGATGTTTACTTTTAGGCGATGATCCCAGGCGATTCAACTCAACAACTTATAATGAAGTTGCTGCTGTAATTACATTAAATGCAGACCAAAGTATCCCGGAAAATGAGATGGTTATTAAGGAGCGAGGAAAACAGTTAATAACGCTCAAGAACATTGACAGCCGAGTAGAACCATTCACCTACCCTCTCCTCTACCCAAAAGGAACTTTTGGGTTTACTGTAGGGCTTCCTCTTAAAACGCCTTATGCAAGCCGTGCACACATGACGAGGATGGAGTTGGCTCAATACAGGTTAGCCTTTCGTCCAGAACAAGCCAAGGCTCTTCCTCCTGAACCATTGCTAGAGGGATTAGATCTAAGGTCGATTGGATTTAATGCTCTCCACTTTGGTGGTAGACTGTTTCAACAGTACGTCGTGGACACATACATCCGTGTTGAACGTGATCGTATTCAGTGGATCAAATATAACCAAAAGAAACTTCAAGCTGATCAGTATGCAGGAGTAACACATTTTCTAAATGAATTGGCTGAAAAGAAAAATGCTACAGTTGCTGAAAAACTGATTTTACCATCATCTTTTCCCGGATCAACGAGATATTTCACTGAACACTTTGAAGACGCTATGGCAATTGTCCGAAGGTTTGGCTCTCCAGACTTTTTTTATCACAATAACGTGCAGTCCAACATGGCCAGAATTAAAAGAAGCTGCATGTATTGAGCTCTCTGATGGTTCTAAACTACAACAGTTCGCCCAAGAAAGACCTGACATTGTGGCTAGGGTAGCCAAATTGAAATTTGACAGCATAGTTGAAGATATCAGTAAGAAACAGATTTTTGGGAAGTCTTCTGCTTTTGTTTACACTATAGAATTTCAAAAACGAGGATTACCCCACCTACATCTTCTTGTCATCATGGCAAATGAAGACAAACTCCGGTCTCCAGAGGAAGTAGACACTTTCATTTCGGCAGAAATTCCTAATGATGACCCAGTTCTAAGGGAGTTGGTCCTCAAATGGATGATTCACAATCCATGTGGCGAACTTAATCCGTCTGCGTCATGTATGGAGAATAAGGGTGGATCAGCTAAATGCCGCTTTGGATTCCCCAAAGCTCATCAAGAGTTTACGTCAATTGTTGACAACAAAAAACCGAATTACAAGAGACGGTATGACCGTCTAGATCTAAGGTCTACTGGATCCAAATAACCCAGAATTTTCTCACGTCCATGCGGTGTACCGCAAAAACAGTGATGGACAAAAAGTTACACGGGACAATAGACATGTTGCTCCATACAATGGCTATTTACTGAAGAAATACATGTGCCACATAAATATCGAGTATGTTGGTAGTGTTAGAGCCGTTAAGTACCTCTATAAATACATTTATAAAGGGCATGACTGCGCAAATGTAAAAATTGTTGAAAATGTGGCCCGAATAATGTATAATGAAGCAGAGAAATTTGTTGAGGCACGTTATATTTCGCCCCCTGAAGCATGTTGGAGGCTGGCTGGAAATGAAATCCAAAGGAAAAGCCATTCGGTGCAACGTTTGGACATCCATCTAGAAGGTCAGTACCGTGTGGGAAACATGGAACAGACACAAGAAGATGTAGCGGACACTGGCCTGAAAGGGTCCACCTTAGAGGCGTACTTTAAACACAACTCTAAACTTCACATAGAAGAAGAGAATGGGAATGAAGTAATCTACTACTTCTACTGGCAGATGCCAGAAAAGTACAAATGGTTAGGCAAAACAAGTGAATGGGTGGTACGACAGCGAAGCTCAAAAACGATTGGAAGGATCCACACTGTGAACTTGGTGGCCCAACCTGAACTTTATCACTTAAGAATGCTCCTCTTCCATACCAAAGATGCCAAAAGTTTTGAAGACCTTAAATTTGTAAATGGGACTGCCTATTCCACTTATAAACAAGCATGCCTAGCAAAAGGCCTTACATATGATGACCAGCAATGGATTGATGGGCTGCGGGAATCCGCTTTGTCAAAGATGCCGAGTGTCATGAGGACACTCTTTTGTCAAATCTTGATTCTCGGATCACCAGAAAACCCTAAACGTCTCTGGGATATGTTTAAGGACGAGTTGGCAGAAGATTTTCTTAGAGAAGCAGAGATTTCTGGAACCCCTCTAGAAGATTCTTACAACAGAGCATATAGAATCATAGCTTACAAGCTAAATACTGAAGCTACAGAAGGTAATAATCAACTTATAAATATTACTTATTACAAAACTTAAATTAAGTTTATTTTGAGTGGATACCCCTTCAAAATGTATAATATATTTATTTATATTTTATTTTAAATGATAATATCTTTCTCTTAAACTGACAGCGAGTAGGTTAGCCATGCCGATGGTCAATGAATGTTGTCTATTGGTCTACCAAAGTTAAATATCAATCTTTAGTGAATTACTTCAACATATCATACATAATACCATATCAATATTCAATTATTTTAATGTCTTTAAAAGTAATTTCAAAATAATTATCAAAGATGATCTAATACAGTCCTTACTATCCTATATATAATACGAGTAAAGTTTGAATACTTGTCCACTCGATCTGGGAATCGGCCCTAACAAAATAGTTTATATTTACGGAATAACTAAGTTCTGTGCCAAAAATAAGTTCTAGACCAGTGGTATAGCCAGGAAAAATCTATTTTCGCCATAATATGAGTGCAAACTTTTGAAAATTTAACATGGGCCTTATGAGAAAACATTCCGCCATTGTTGTCATTTTGTTTACATTTTAAGACATAACGTGACGTTCTGTACCCACGGGCACCTCAGCTTGCGCATGCTATTTGTAGCATATGTTTACACAGACCAAAAGGAAATAACAATGTGTGTATACAGAGCAAAGGAAATTAACATTCAGATTATACCATTGAGCATATTATACTACTGTATAACTGAAAAACCAATTTCTGTCAATGTCGAGTGCGGTAGTTAAATTAATGAGAGGATGGAATAATCTTTAATTAGCTTTAACTTATACACCTCCTTTTATATTTATTGGGTAGTAGATTTCTGCTAAATTTATTTCAACTTAACTATTATTTCACGTGCAATTTCACTACATTCCCTATTGTAATGAATCTTCTAATATAAGTCATGCAGTAAATGATCACAACACTCATGAAGGCTTACCGTATTATTGTCCATAAGCTGAATAGCTGAATAGCTACTGAAGGTAATTCTTTCTCATAGTATCAATAACGATAACATACAATTACTTTTGATCAACTGATTCTATGGCTTAAATTTCAATTCTAACATTGGAAGCGCACTAGACTTAGGCTTCACATAAGTTCTAAAATATGAGAAACTAACCCATACTAATTATGTACAGAATTGAAAATGCTAACTTATTATTAAATTAAATATTTAGCATTTGTTACTGTGACTCATTAGTAGATTACTTGACCATAAACTTTATTAACATTGTGAAACGTTTATATTTTTTAATGTCATTTATGATAATTGTAAAATTAGAGTGTATAATTGTTCAAATTTTATTAAATATAAGTGTGAAGCAAAATAAAAATAAAAAATATGCAATGAATATTATAACAAATTAAAATAAGAGAAAGCATTAGACTAAAATAAATTATACTACATGTTTTAATACTTATGATTTTGTAAAAAGTGAACTCAAAATAATTATTTATTTCAGGCCGAAACTTCCAATTTTGGGTGGAAAACTATGGTATGGATGACATTCAGAATTTTCAAGACGAAGGAAATGAAGAAACCCACAATGTCAGCGAATTAGAAGCCATTGGTCGCAGACAATATAGCGATTTGAATAACGAACAAAAAGACTTTGTTGATGCTGTTATGAAAGCAATAGAAGACCCGATGAGTTGCATCCCCAAGTGTTTTTTCCTCGATGGACCAGGAGGTACAGGGAAGACATACGTGTACAATACCCTCTACCATCTAATTCTTGGAAAAAATCTTAATGTAAAATGCATGGCATATACCGGCATTGCATCAATCTTGCTACCTGAAGGACGTTCTACCCATAGGACTTTTGGTCTAAAAGTTCCATTGACTAGCGATTCTAAATCATCAATTCAGCCAGGCACTCAGAAGGCCCAAGAACTGGCAGAAGTAGACGTATTTATGATGGACGAAGCACCAATGCTACCAAAATATGGCCTAAGTTGTATTGACGGACTCCTGCGAAGCTTAGGAAACAGAAACTTGCCTTTTGGAGGAAAAACTATGATCCTAGGAGGAGACTTCCGCCAATGCCTTCCAGTCCAGCCTAGAGCAAATCGATCTGAGCTGATCGACCTTTCTGTAAAACGTTGCAGTATTTGGAAGTTTTTCAAGCTCTTCTCTCTTCATCAAAACATGAGAGTCAATCTCGATGAAAGTGCATTTGCTGGATATCTCCTTCAACTTGGAAATGGAGATTTGCCCACCAACAATGACTGTGAAATAAATATTCCCGATGACATTATTTCAAATGGAAATATTGTTGAACAAATATATGGCGATTGCCTAGCCAACAGAGATTACAATGCTATGAGAGATAGAGCCATCCTTGCACCTTTAAATAGAGATGTTGATAATATCAATAACGAGATCATCCAAATTATCCCTGGACAAGAAACAATTTATAAAAGTTTTGATTCAGTAAAAGATGAACCTGATGGAGCTCTCAAATTCCCAACTGAGTTTTTAAACTCAATTGAAATATCAGATTTACCACCTCATGAACTCCGACTAAAAAACAACGTCGTTATAATGTTACTCAGAAACCTAGACGTGACGGAGGGTTTATGCAATGGCACAAGACTGATTGTCACGGAGTTGTGTCCGAACATTATTAAGGCTAAAATAATTACTGGCAGTCATTCTGGTCGAGATGTACACATTCCAAGAGTCACTCTGGATTCGAGCAAGTGTCAACTCGGATGTTCGCTGCAAAGACATCAGTTTCCAGTTCGACCAGCTTTTGCTATGACCATCCATAAGTCTCAAGGCCAAACCTTTCAGTCTGTTGGTGTTGTGTTAAACAACCCCGTATTCATGCATGGGATGCTCTATGTAGCTTTCTCCAGAGTACGAACAAGAAACTCTTTAAAAGTTGTTTTGCCATCTAGAGACAGAAAATTAACTAAAAACGTTGTTTGGATGGAAATATTCAGATGAACAATATTGAAAATGTTAGTTCATTTTGGTCCATGTAATTAATATTTAAATTTGTACCATAATAACTAGCTTACCTTACTTGAAATTATTTAGTTTGGATTAAATAGTTTGTTGACTTAATTGTCGATAATCTGAAGAATATAGTCAAATTAGAATCTAGAGCAGAGGTAAAATATGTAATTGTATTATATCCTATTTTACCACAGTTGAATGCTTATCACCATTACATTTTTATAGTTTAAAATTGGTTTAAAACTGACTAATTTGAATTCTTATGTGTTTGTTATGTTATTTGTTTTAGTCTATAAAAAACAATCGTATAAACAATTTGTAGTTTTCATGTTTTTACAATAAATGCAGCCTCAGTCTGTGATATTAATTGTAACTACTGTGATATTTTTCTTTGTTTGTTTAAGAAAACTATTTGGAAAAGTGAATTGAGATGCTTATAGTTCTTGTGTGGAAATCCTTAGAACTTAAATTGCAATATTATAGCATGCCATGTTGTCTATACTCAACTACAATGTAGCCAAATTAGGATGTTTTTATTTTTTTGAAAAATAAATCACAATATTTTATTGTTTAAAGATGGAATAAATTACTATATTAATTTACATGAGAATCATCAATTTTGCTTAAAAAACAAAGTCAACTACAATATTACTATTATAACAGACTGATAAACAATTATGTTTTTGATAGATGACATTGAACAAATATTTCTCTCAGAGTAAATACTAATGATTTCCCGAGCAAAGCTCGGTCCCCAGGTACTACTCATTTAATACGCAAGCAGGTTTTTTGTGACAATTACTCCTCCGAAACTACTGAACCGATTGACATGTTTTTGGTATCATTGGAAAGAACGTAACGTGAAAATGAGCAGGAAACTTTCTTTTTAGGGAAATAATTAGAGAGTGAGGCCCTGGGGCCCTCTAAAGTTTCGTATTTCTACATAAGATTAACATGGGACACAAACTTTATGCAACTCCAGCTGTTGTCAGAAATTAAAGGCGAGAAGAAAAACATATGTTAATTGTAAAATTGTGACAGAGATGTTATGCAGAAAATCTGGTTGGTTATTTGGTGCTATTAAAATAAAGACTGAAATTTGTTAACGTACTGGCGACAATGGGTGATACCATGCATGGACCAGCATGGAAAACCTATTGCGGATGAAAAATGATAAAATATTTACAATATATGTTGATTGTATTAAACTGTTAAGTACATTGTGAGTATTATTATTAGTTATTATACGTAATCTTTGAGCTGATCCTTTTAAACTTATCGGAATTTAGGACTTATATTTGTTCTTGAATAAGTTATTTTTTGTTTTTAAATAACTCCTTTACTCCATTGCGATTGCTCGATTTCGAGCTACATGTACACTAGTTAATATAAAATACATTTACTATTATCAAACATCGCTGGCCCTTGTAGGTATTCAATATTCTGTATCATAAAATCAACGAACAATCGCACGATCAATGTTTAAGTTGGTTCTAAAAATAATATGAATAGAATTAACCGCGTAAAAATGATAATACATCATTTAAATATAAATATCATGTGAAATGTACAATATATTTTAAAGAATGTTCATGTAAAATTAGAGACATAAAAGTATTATAAACCCGAGACTAAGGTCCTGAAAACCTCAGAATTGCTTAGTAAATATATTTTAGGGATATTTGTCAATGCAGACATACGCCACCTTCTGCTTTTGTATATTTGTTAAGCCGTTTGAAACAGCATTTCCCACGAAACAATTATTCCATAGAGTTCACTAATTAAGAATTCACAATGGAACGTGGTTAAACAGCTCGTTTTCAAGCTCTCAATTTAAAATATGAATGTAGGGTAACACATTTTATTTCCACAGTTCAATTATTTTATATACTCAGCGTTTCAGTAAATAATGATTTATTGGACAATAATAACTTTTTCTGTATTCAATTGTTTATTATATAAATGGTTGCTACATGGAATTATGTAAAACCTAGTAGTCAACTATGTACTATATTATAATACAAACCAAACTATTGTTTGTTAAATCGTTACATTGAACGTGTGAATCGACTACCAATATTTTGTCTATTCTTTACGTGGATGTATTTACAAGCCTCTAATTGAATATGAATGAAAGAGGTAGAACTTTGAAATAATTACAATATTTACTATCAACATAAATTTTTCATAAAAGGCCTACGCTGTTTGAAAACCATCGCTACAATTATATCTAATTTTTCTGTTTTCAGATGTAAATATTTTGAGTGTTGAAACTTAAGGGCAGTTATCCTGCCACATGTCAAGTATTTTGTCTGTCTATAATAATTTAGCCCAATGCACCTGGAGTCTTTTTGACACTGAAATATTAGGGGGGTTTGATTTGGAAGGGGGCGATAAATTTGGTATACTTTTCTGGATAAAAAACTATGTTCTTGAACTATGGAGTGGAACTATGTTGAGGGGAGGGGGAAATAATGTAAAATGCAAATTTTTTAATATACTACCTCAGTTTAGGCATCCTGTCAGATACCAAGCAGGTCTATGAATGAGTGACAGTAGATCACTGCAGAAGTAGTCCCCATATGAAAGATTCTGAATATTTTGAACATCCACAATTTTGAATCTTTTGAGGGGATAAACATTTTAAATGTCACTTTTGGGAGTTTTTGTTCAGAGTAGGTAGCATTAAAAGTATAAAATGTATGTCCGAAAAATAATTTAAACAACTAAACACAAGTCAAAACCCAAGATATTGTAAACATTTGAGAAGCAGTGCGTTTTTTTGGGGATGAAGGGGTGCGATTTTAGCAAAACATTGAAGGCAATATTGTGGAAAATCGAATCTTCTTTTACCGGTTTTGAGTTATGGCCGTTTAAAAAACACGTTTTTTTATTTTTTTTCGTATTTGTTCAGATGTCCGCCATTTTAGATTTTTGGGTGCCGTTAATTTAATCTCACGTAGTAGAATATTGCCAAAATTCAAGACTGTATCTTGTTTTGAAATGGTTTGGGTTTGCATTCCAAAGTCAGTCTATAATATTTCTTATAAGAATAGGATGGGGAGGGAAACTATAAAATTTGGGTGGTTAAAATTTGGAAACGTAACTTTTTTTGAATTTCCTGGGAGTTGGGACCAAGTTTGACAATTTTGCCTCTAGCCTCTAGCTAATCTAGAGGTGGGTAAAAGTTTGTAGTCAGTTACAAAAATGTATAAAAATAAAATATTATAAGTTATAAAATACCTCTAATCCACCTAAGGCTGTATATATATTAGATGGATTAGAAATATTTTAAGACTGAATATAATATTACTCAGGCTGAATAATATTAAACTCAGAGCTATACTAAAACTGAGTATGAGTATGGTTGGGTGTATACAAATCACGATATATTTCTGTTAACATCATCTATGATAAGTTTTGTAATCAAATAACTTTGTTCACCCGTGCATTCGTATAGGTATGTCTCTTACCAAAGATACAAAATATACTTTCTTCTATAATAATAAAGAAAATTATCTTAAAGTTACATAGAAATGTTCACATTGAATGTTGTTTACTTTTCCTCTTTGTCAAACAGTTCTCACAGTTGCCGTACAAGATACCACAGATCAACCAGACAATCAGGCTAAGAGCATTGTAACCAGTTTGACCTGGTTGTAACATCAACAGAGTTTCTACATTACAACGTCGTCTGCTGTTTTCATTCTAATTTTTATCTGCCAGTTCTTAAGAATTAGTTGGGCATCTGCATACCACGAAATTAAGAAGTTATTTAGTAGTTATTCAGCTTATAATTACTACTGTCTTTAAAATAAGGCACTGTATCTGAATATATTAATAGATATGGCATATTAATACGTTTTAGAGAAGTTAGGAAACTGGCTCTTAATTAAAGTAAATCATAAATAAATCATAAATCATTTATTTGGCCAGATTTACATGAATGCATTGGCTAAGTCAATATACATTTAAAAAAATACAGATTGTCTTATAAACTATAAAATAACTACTAAAACAAACAATATTTACATTTAATCAATTCATGAACCAAGCATACTATATGCCCATGACTACCCATCAGCAATAAAATCACGGACACGGTAGTAACACTTGGACACCAGTAATTTTCGAAGTGATTTTTTAAAAACAACAGGGTTTGACTCAATTTTTAGATGTGTTGGCAGAGCATTGAAAAGCAGTATACCGTTATAATAAAGATGTTTTTTGAAAAAGGTGGTTGAATGTTTTGGTATCTGAAGATTAAGACTGTTTCGCAAAGAATATGGACATGATCTGGAACTTGAAAAAATGGAAATGTTCTTTTTCAGAAAAGAGAGTGTTTCAAGGATGTATATGCATGGAAAAGTTAAAATATTTGAAGACTGGAAAAAATCTTTGCATGAAGTTCGTGAGCTGATTTTAAAGATGGTTCGAATTGCTCTCTTTTGAAGTCGAAATAGAAATCTGGTCCTTCCATTCTCATATCCCCATGCCGGCACTGCGTATACTAAATGAGGGAAAATGACCCCATAATAGGCGGTCATAAGGACGTTCTGATCAGAAAAAATTGACAATTGTTTTAAAAGAAAGATACCGGAACCAACCCTCGTACACACACTGTCGATATGGTCATAAAAACGAAGGTGTTTGTCTAATATTAAACCAAGGAACTTGACGCCTTCTGTTGACTCAATTTCCACGTTGTCTAAAAGGATAGTTGTGTGTGGATTGCCTTGGATTGAAAAACGGAGCAATTCAGTTTTGTTGGGGTTGAGATTTAATAAATTGGAGTCAAACCACTGCTTTACGTTATTTGCCTCAATAAAAGATTTTAATTCTAATTCCTCGGAAGTAGAGCCAGACAGAGCTAAAGACGTGTCATCCGCAAAAAGACAGATCTCTCCAGCCTCAACACTTGAAGGCAGTTCATTGATATAGATCAGAAACAGCACAGGTCCGAGGACAGATCCCTGGGGAACCCCACAAGTGACGGTGTCCCGAGAGGAGACAAAGGGTCGAGCACACCCAGAACTGTCAACACCTCTGACCTCAACGAATTGCTCCCTCTTTCTAAGGTATGAGGAGAACCACTCCTGTGCCAGCCCCCTAACACCAATAGATTCTAGTTTATTGATGAGCATATCGTGATTTACAGTATCAAATGCCTTGCTCAGGTCAAAGAAAAACCCTAAAGCATTTTCTCCTGAGTCAAGAGCCCGTACTACTTTTGTTATAAGTATAAACATTGCATTGGTGGTTGATTTCCCTTTTACGAATCCAAATTGGTTCTTAAACATAATATTATTTCTTTCTAAAAATTGTACTAATCTTGTTATTACTACTTTTTCAAATATTTTAGAAATGGTCGAAACTAGAGTGATAGGTCTGTAGTTATCGCAAGTGGTTGGTATGCCTTTTTTATACAGTGGTTTAACAACGGAGGTCTTTATAGCCCAGTCACTTTAGGTAAGAACCTAGACATGAAAGATGTAAAGCTGATTTTTTGCATGGTGATAGTATATAATAGGAAAGGTGTTTTCTGAAAGTTCCCTGAATTTCCCCCCCTTGCTTCCCCTTAAAACGCCCCCTCCCCCGAAACACCAGGTTGAAAGTGTAGTGTTTTACTAAATCACCTATATCTTTTGATGTAAACGAGCTATCAGCATAATTGTTTTTTCTTTGAACTCCCCGTTAAATTTACTTTAATAAAATAACCTTACACGTAGCATTATCTCTATTGGGTGGGATTTCATATGTGATACAAAATAAATATTATTTTATTTAAAACGTGAAGTTGTAGATTAGGCCAAACGTCGGTTTTGCAGTAGGTAGTACGTCAATGTAACAACACTTTTTACCTGTTTGATGAGCTTTCCAAAAATGTATAACAATATATATTTTAATTTAAATTGTTACCGAATGAAGCCATTTAAATCCATGCTTCAAACAGCCACAAAGCGCATTTAGCGCACCATTCCAACTTGTCCAGTAAATATCTATTCTATATACAGGGTTAGTAAAAAGTGTGGAGACCCCCTGGTAATTTTTTTAACGGCCCATACTAAAAAAACTAAACTCGGCACACCTTTATGGCATGTTATGAAGTACTTTTTGGGAATAACCGCCACTTGGTGATCATCCCCAAAATGGGGGATTTTGGGGGAAACTCTAAAATTTCAAATTTTAAGCCCCATTGAATGACCCCTCATTTTGAAGGTCCTGGTAAAAGAAAGCCAACAACGCAAATTAGAGGTATCTACCTCAATCCAGTAAAAAATGGCAGCCAATTGAAATTCTCAGAAGTTAAATTTAACTTACAGCTTTTCAAGTCTGGAGACCCCCTGTAAATTTTGTAACGGCTCACACTAGGAAAACTAAACTCTACACACCTTTTTGGCATGTTATGAAGTACTTTTGAAGCCTAATAGCACAATATAATACTTTAGCCACTTGGTTACCAAACCCAAAATGGGGGATTTTGGGGGAAACTCAAAAACTTTAAATGATAAGCCCCATCGAGTGACCCCTCATTTTGAAGATCATAATAAAAGAAAACTAGCAAACTATAGGTCTCTATCTTAACACAGTAAAATATGGCAGCCAATTTAATATTAAATTGCAAGTTATTTCTGATTTCTAAAGATTTCAATCAGCTTCCATTTTTAACTGGATTGAGATAGAAACCTCTAGTTGGCGTTGTTAGTTTTCTTTGACCAGGACCTTCAAAATGAGGGGCCACTCAATGGGGCTTAACATTTAAAAATGTTGTTTTTAAAAGGTTGTTTGAGTTTCCCCCAAAATCCCCCATTTTGGGGATGTACACCAAGTGGTGGTTATGCCCAAAAAGTACTTCATAACATGCCATAAAGGTGTGCCCAGTTTAGTTTTTCTAGTATGGGCCGTTAAAAAAATAACAGGGGTTCTCCACACTTTTTACTAATCCTGTATAATTCAGTTTTAAAAATATTTGTACAACTAAATCTAGACTTCTACTAGACCGATTTTGTTAATTAATGGGTCATTGGAAAGCCTAATTCATGTAGATTTGCAAATAATTATGAAAGTGTGATTTTATCAAATATTTGTGGTGAAAGTTTCTTTTTTCAAGTTTCTATTTGTAGCCAGCTTTTGCCTGCCTTTATTAAGAATTTTCAAAAAATGCGTGGTAGTTATTTGTAGTAAATTGTATTCTCTTTCAGAATATCACATCCACTTTGGTAGATTTTCCCTCCATTTAAAAGTTATTGGTAATATGCTAAGTGATCTACAAATTTTAAGTGGTGAGAAAATACTAAATTTTTTTTTTTAACTTTGTACAACTAAATTGATTGTATAAATGATTGTATAAAGCATTGATTGTATAAATTCACTCCCACCCTTCATTGACGAAGGAACTGACGATGATGATGGAAAAGAAAGTTGATATGTACTGTATTGTTTATGCCTTACTTTAGTGTTTTTTAACTGTAGGCTAATTAAACCTGTTGAGCATATATTTGCCTTTTCTTATAACTACCGATTACTTAATTTTTAATCCTTGTGAGTACTTATTTTCTTACTATTTTTGTAATTCAGTGTTCTTATTTTGCTTGTTAAACATTCACACAGGGTGTGTAAACAATAAATAAATAAAAAGTGTTCATTTAGTAATATTTACTGAACAATTTGGAATGATGTGCTAAGTGAAGCATGGATTTAAATAGCTTCATTCGGTAACAACTTAAATTAAAATATATATTGTTATACATTTTTGGAAAGCTCATAAAATAGGTAAAAAGTTTTGTTTCAAACACATTGACGTACGACCTACTGCAAAAACCAGGGTTTGACCTAATCTACAATTTTATGTAAAAAAAAATAATATTTTTTGTTATATCACAGTTATAAACCCACCCAATAGAGATAATGCTACATGTAAGGTTATTTTATTAAAGTAAATTTAACGGGGAGTTCAAAGAAAAAATAATTATGCTGATAGCTCGTTTACATCAAAAGATATAGGTGATTTTGTAAAACACTACACTGTCAACCTGGTGTTTTGGGGGAGGGGGGGTTTTAAGGGGAAGCAAGGGGGGGAAATTCGGGGAACTTTCAGAAAACACCCTTCCTATCATACACTATCACCATGCAAAAAATCAGCTTTACATCTTTCATGTCTTTGTTGGCCTTGATTTTTAACTTAAGTTACTGGGCTATTAATAGGTCAGGGAAGGTTCCTGCTTCAAAAGAACTGTTGACCACGTTGGCTAGGGGCTTTGCTATTATATGTCCAATTTCTTTAATTATATTGGGAGAAATTTCGTCCGCCCCGGAAGACTTCTTATTTTTCATCTCATGAATTATTCTTAAAATCTCAATTTTATCTGTTTTGTAGAGGAAAAACGAGTCTCTCACTGAGCTTATAGTGTTTAAGCTGTGGACTCCTTTGGACTTGTTTCCAACGTTCAAGAAAAATGTATTAAACATCTCAGCAACAGCGGTGGGGTTGCTTACCACTTGACCAATGTCATTGATAATCTTAATCGGTTTCATTTCATTGTCCTTACATTTTTTATTTTTATTTATTGTTTGCCATATTGCTTTAGATTTGTTGTCGGAGCCGTTGATTTCTTTTAGTATCTGGGCTGATTTTATCTGTCTAATTTGGCATCTATATTTTTGTTTCATGTGAAAGTAGTATTGTCTCATATAATGTGTTGAGTTAAGATCCTTAGTTTTTATATAAAGTTCGCGAACAGTTCTTCCTAACTCAATTGTATCAGGTCCAAGAACTATTTTCCTCCTATCTTTTGCTATTTTGTTTTTCAAGACTCTCTTGGGAAACGCGGTGTTAAAAAAGTGAATTAACGTTGTCTCGAAAGCTGAATATTTATCATTTACATCATCTAGGGAGTATACTGATTCCCAATTTTCTTCCTTTAACAATATCTCAAAATATTCTTTAGCTGAGTGTGTAAACTTTCTACAAAATATTGATCTGGGCGCTGACGATGTTTTTGTGTTTGGAAGTATTAATGTAGCAAGTTGGGCGTGGTGATCTGAGAGGGCTGACACTATCACGGAACATCTGAAATTCTCATCCTCACTGTTTGTAAACACGTGATCAATAAGAGTTCTGGAGCTTTTGAATTCTCTAGTAAAGGATTTAACTCTGTTGGTCAGTCCAAAGGAGTCCATTGTAGTGATATATTGAGAGGCTGTAAACGATCTAGTGGCCAAATCTATATTAAAATCTCCTACGATTATGGTTTTGTTTTTGTAATTATTGTATTTATCGAGGCATTCTGCTAAGCAGTCAAGAAAGATTTGATGGTTATTTGTAGGTGGTCTATAGCCTGCAACGAGAACCACTGTTTCTCCTCCACAATCGATTAGTGCTCCGGCTAATTCACATTCGCCCTCGTGGCAATACAAATCCAAATCAATTTTTTGACAACAAAGGCCATTTTTGGCGAGTATACAGACTCCACCTCTCTCAAGATCTTTTCTGCAGAATGAAGAAACATTGTTAAACCCCTCCAGTTTAAATATTTCAAATTCGTTTGGTTTTAAATTGTGTTCTGTAAGGCAAACAATATCTGGCATCTCTGTGTCGAGGAAAACTTGCAACAGTTCTAATTTCGAAGCAATGCCTCTAATATTTTGATGTACTATTTTTATACAGCTCCGAAGCATGCTCCCCACGTCTTCCTGGGACCCATCCATGGGACTCCGTACTGTTTCCGAGCCGCCTCCAAAAAAGACCTGTTAAAGAAAACACTGGCGCCACCCAGAGCCTTCCTCACCGGTCCGCCGGAGTCGACCCGCTGCCCATGCCCAGTGCTGTGTCCAGGCTTGGAGGGCTCCGTCCCCCCGGAGACCAAGTCCGCTTGAAGGGGCGCAGATGGACAAATTTTATCTCGCAACAGCTCAGATAGCCGCCGCTTGCCCCGAGGACCCAGATGGAGACCATGCCTGGTGTAGCATGCACGGTCCAGTGAGGCCAGGGATGCAAACGAGGCATTTTTATGAGCAGCAACGAGGGACTCTAATTGGCTGTTGATTGAATTGACAGTAGGGATTAATGATGGTTGATCATACC